TACAGAACTCCAGGTGGTCAGGGGCTGACGAGACCATCTGCTAAAAAGAAAATATTATTTTGAGGAATTGCAAATTTTTACATGTCTCACCTACTTACCAATAACTCTACAGGTGCACTGTCATGCATTCTGTCCCTTCATGGAGACAGGCAAGGGTATTGTAAAGGTAAACAGAGACCAGCTGAGAGACATGAAACAAGAGAATCTAGATTGCATCACAATTCTCAAACTTTCAGACCCAAAGCTATACAGCAATTATGAGTGACTTTCCCTTCAATAAACACACACCCAGACACCCACACAAACACACATTAATGTTATAAGATGACAAAGAGACCAGTCTTTGAAGAATCAGAATAGCATGCCCTTGTGTTTGCTGACCATGAACAAGAGGTTAAGATTTACATTTTCTAGTTAAGTTCATTGATGTGCAGGGGCTTTAGCTGTTACTCTACTCATGCATCCCAGGAAACAGAAACACACATACCAAACCTGTGGACCCTCCACTCCAAAATTTTCTCACATTTGCAGCACTTGGAAGGTATGCAAGTGTGACCACCTGAACTCTGACCACTGGCATCGTCTGGGCTGCAGGACTGGCCTCTTTGAAATAGCATCAACCTTTAGCTCCCACACATAGTGAGGACACAAAGGGCAGCTACACTGCACTTCTGATGCTACAATTTTACTGAACAGATGAGCAGCTGTAGAACAGATAGGCTACTGGATGAAGTGAGCAGTCAAGGTCACTCCTAAAGAATCCCGGTATGATAGTGTCACAGCAATCTTTGATCCAGTGCCACATTCAAAAGTCCCCTCTATTTCAATGCAGCCAGTTACATATTTTCAAACCATCAAAAAACGTAACTTCCATTCCTACAACATAGTCATGATAAAATGTTGCAATTATTGAGCAATTGCAATATTTGAAGGGATCTGCCAAAATATTTCAGCACACTAGCTCATTATTCCTCACGCCTCTCCTAAGCAGATATCGCGTCAAATGGGTTATAGTGAGGAAAGTGGCAATCTATTAATCACTTGCTCAATGCTAATCAAACAGTACGTTGTGGAGCCAGGGTCAGAATGAAGGTCACTATGCTGAAGACTAAATTTCTGACAACTACATTTCTGGGCATATGTCTAGTTTTCTTGTTATTCTGGCTGTTAATCTTCAATTACATGGATGATCCAGAGCCTGCAGGGTAGTGGGGACAGGAGACAAAGGAAACATCCTATTCAATTCAGACAACCTGGATCTCCTTCTCCTGGCAAAGCCCAGTGACTCAGGCAAGA